TTCTGCATAAAAAGTATTAATTGCACACCTACCATCCACACAAATAAGTTTTTCAAACTTAACATTCAGTGAAGTTAATTTTCTGTACTGTGGCAAGTTTATTGAGAAATTGTTTCATAAATGGATATTCCTACTATGACTGTGAAAACATGTCAAGTGCCACTTTAGTGTCACAGACAGAAAGCACACACCTATGCAATATGGCTTACCCTATATTTATTTGTAAAAACCCAAGCATAGTTTAAAAATATATGTCAATAATACTAGTCTTGAGTTTCTAAGAAAGTTCTTTATGATTATTCCAGGTAAGTGTATAAAGAGATTAAGTGTTTTTCTTTCATCACTTGATTATTTTCTTTAAAATCAGCTATTACAGGATATTTTTTTATTTTATACATGCTGTTTTTTTAATTAAAATATAATCATTGAGAACTGAAGTTTACTAATTTTGATTTTATAAGGTTTGTAGCATTACAGAATAAACAGATTTATAAACCAGCTGTGATTAACAATGTAAAGTATTAATTATTGAACTTGAACCAGAGTTTTAGGAAAACTGTTATTTCTTTTTCCCCTTTATGGTCTTAACTAATTTGAATCCTTCAAGAAGGATTCTTCCATACTATTTTTTGAGATAGAAGGTAATTGGGGGGGGGGAAGAATGCATGTATGATACTCCATAAATTCAACATTCTTTAAGAAATAAATGATTATAAATAAGCTGCATCTTCAATAGTATTAATATCCCAAGCCTTGGATTTTATATTTAATATAGCACCTAACTATTTTGGTTACTTAGTCATATGGCTCCTAGCTTATAAGGGCTAGATCTAAGATTATTCTCATGAGAAATGTTCGATTTATGCAGAATGGATTTGAGGCTGTGGAAATGGTTAATTCCTCAAATAAAAACATCAATGTCCAAACATCTACCTTTTTTCATAGGAGTAGACACTAGCAAGCTGGACAAAATAATCATAAAGTATTTGTTCCACCATGACCTGTGGTCTGTTGCTGATTGATACAAAATTCTTCATGTGTGATTCTTAATTTACCACTATAGCACAAGTATTATATCAGTGGATTATCTAAAGTAACATTTGAAAGATGGGTTCATCTGTGTTTGCTCTTTAAACTATTATTTTTTTTCCTACCCCAAGTTGGCTTTGCATCTACCAGAGTAAATTCTTCAGCTGCCTTATTAGGAGTGCTTTGAGGGTAACACCTTTTCTGCTTTTCATCTTGTTTAGTTTACTGTATTAAGTATTTGATTTCAGATTGATTGAATGTAAATAGAAATTAAATGCAAATTTGAATGAACATAAAATAGAAGTGATTTTTTTTAAATTATTATTATCCTAGGATAGGAAGAAATAACTATCAGGTACACATGTGGTTTCAATAATTTTTCCCATTAACATTCCAGATGTGTTCAGATTCTCATATTTAATAAACTTTATGTGAAGAATGACAGTCATAAAACTGTTTTTGTGGAGAAATTGAAGCAATTTAAATTTATAACAAGTTTTAGTACTGATTTTATATTAGGTGTTAAACATCTGTGATTTCCAAGTTCTGTCAAATAGTAGAATTGAATTGGTTGCTTAAAAAAAAAAGTTCATGTGAAACGTTATGTGAAAGCCAGCTTCACATAAAAACAATGGAAGACTTTCCTGTGCTAACATACAACAGTTTTTCCAGCCACATTTGTCAACTACATTACCTGATGTGTATGAACAAAATAACATAGTGGACAAATCTGCTTTTAACTAATGTCTCAATATATCTACTGTAAGATGGGTGTTTTGTGTAAACCACCTCTTATTTATGAGGTAATTCTATCACACTTGCCAAGATGGTTTCTCTACAGAAGTTCTCAAACGTACTTTTTTATAAAACATAGTAGTGACTCTTGATGTTGATAAAACAGTCTTTTAGAGGATGTGATCTGAATTCACAGAATAAGTGGGGTTTGAATCCCTATTCCTGTTTTTGAGGTGAAGGAATAAAAATAAGAGAAATGCTTCTAGTTCATCAATGTTACTAGTGAATGGCAAAGCTCTCCTGTTACATTTTCCTCCTTTTAAACTGATATGTGAACTGCTTTCTTGTTTGTTAAGAAAACAAAAACAAAAAACCCCACTGTCCACCAGGGACTTCTTTTGTTATTCAGTCATATTAAGAAACAAAGCTATCCATATGGCCATAGGGTAAGTAAGTGTGGTAAGTAGGTATTGTATTAGGGCTGAAGTAACCTATGTGTTTAAGGTGTTATTCTTATGTTTTTATCAAGAAGTCAGCATATCCTTCACACCCAAATTCTAATCTCAAATTGTCTTTCTCACTTATCCCCTGCTGCATACCTAAATAACAACTATTAGCTTCACCACAAAGTTAGGAAGGTGATTTAAGGCCAAGTAAGCTTGTTTTTTAGTATTTGCAGTGGTTCTCAAAGTACGTAACATAGTTAAGTATTTTATCCTGAATAAACAGGAACAGTTGCACGTATAATCTAGCAATATTTACCTGGGGAGAAAAGTTACAGGCTAATGTTCTTTTGTCAATTTGGGTGGCCATAAGGCATGAAAAGTGGTTTAACCTGTATCTGGTTGGTCACTAGCCTTATTAATCCAGGTTGTTTTAATCTTTGTCTTATCAGCACTGCAAATTTGTTTTCTACCTCTACCTTGTAGCTTCTACTTCCCACCACTATCTTTTTCTTGTGTGCAAACTGATAGATGGTAAAAGAGAAAATGGGCAGAGGCCTTGCATCTAAATATATATAATAACCAGTCCTTTGGATTTCTGGTATAGATCCATCCCCGCTTAGAGGTTTCATAGTGAGAGAGAAAGTGCCTCATTCTCTTTCCACCACCCTGCACAAACACCTGTAGACAAACAAACCACACTCTCCAAAGCTTGTGTTGGCCTGAGTGCAAGCTTTTATCTCCCAAGTAATGGTGATTCAAGCATGAGACTCCAAAACTCTTCTGGAGAAGACTAGTTATACGGGGAAATCCTTTTTTTTTCTTTTCTTTTTTTTGGCCACGCACCATGTGGGAGCCTAGTTCCCCGACCAGAGCTCAAACCCACGTCCCCTGCATTGGAAGTGCGGAGTCTTAACCACTGGACTGCCAGGGAAGTCCCGAGGAATTCTTTTCTAAGTGTTTGAGTTGGTCTTGTTTGTCACTCTATTCAAATCATCAGTGAAGCCAGCTGTTTGTAATCCATGTGAATTATTTTAATAATCCAAGAAAGTCCATGGCACTTTCCAAAAAGCAAGATCATGAACATTAAAGCTGATGGCAGGATTGTATGTATGAAGTCCACAAAGAAAAGGAATTTAAACCATCTGTTCTCAATGACTGCTAATCACACTACAGAGAATAATACAATATTAAAATATTTCATCCTCAGTAAATTAATCTTCCTTAGAAAAATCTGATTGTACAGGTAAAATATAGCATTTAGAGCATTCATTTAAAAATACAAATTTTATGAGAAATTTTAGAATTTTTAGAATGGGAATTATAAAAGTCAATGTTAAAGAAGATTCTACTTTCAGGTAATGTGTATCTTAAAATATTATGAAAAATATTCTTTATTCCGAAAACAGTGTCAGGAAAGAATACCTGAATTCCTCTAAAACCACTAGTTCTAGTTATCCAATTGTCATTTTGGTAACATTAACAAGAAAACACATTTACAATTTAACACTGCAATTATCTGTCAAATAATTAGGATAGAATAAATGTTGCATATGCATTATGTTGAACATTACTTACATATATTTTTAAATATAGGGTTCTTTCATTTAATCTTTTGAGAAGCTGGACTACACATTTGCCTTATTATAATATTCTAAAACCATTTGGAAACATTTTCCTTAACTTCCAGCCCTGAAAATCCATTCTAATGTCCTTAGCAATAGTCACTGTAACCAAATAAAATTAGTGTTTTGTGGCCTTAATATTAAGTTTAGAACTTAATATATTTGAAGGTGTGATGAAGTGGCTCCGTCTTGCCATTTGTTTATATGGTCTGAAATCACAATTCTGCACAGCGGACATGTTTTCTCTCTGTTAAACCATAAGGTAATGCACTCTTCACAAAATATATGCTGTAAGGGAATTAAGAACTAGATTTTATAGTTGATAACATTTCAATTTTAAATTCATCACATTGCAGAGAATCATACTCTAGAGCTGAAAGGGAATTTGGAGAACACTAATCCCTTTATTTTACAAGTGAGAAAACAAAGTATAACATTCAAGAACACAGCGGTGTTCGTGGTAGAGGCACAGGTATTATTCTGACTTGTACTATCCGTTTAACCACTTTTAATAAAATACAAGCTATCCTCAGGTGATAACATTAAGATCAAGTATAATGACTAACAGCTTAATAAAGTCTTTGAGGGTTACTGAAATAAAGTATAGGAAAGGGCCTTATACAGTCCAGTAACAAATGCTGGTATTATTCTAAAAGACTAGTATTCAATTATTAAAAATAGTCTGTTTCCCAGTCACTTTGGTATCCAGTATGCCATTTGAATTTTTTTTTTCCCCTTTATACACTCCTCTACATAAAAATTATTAGAACTGGGCTTCCCTGGTGGCGCAGTGGTTGAGAGTCCGCCTGCCGATGCAGGGGACATGGGTTCGTGCCCCAGTCTGGGAAGATCCCACATGCCGCGGAGCGGCTAGGCCCGTGAGCCATGGCCGCTGAGCCTGCGCGTCTGGAGCCTGTGCTCCACAACGGGGGAGGCCACAACAGTGAGAGGCCCGCGTACCGCAAAAACAAACAAAAAAAATCATTAGAACTAAGGGGCAAGATCTAGCTAACCTACCAAACCCCTAATCACAAATAAGAAATTAGTAGTGTGTGCCCTGAATGCTACTTTCTGCTGAATAGTGTATATTTCCCTATAAGTAACATAAATGTGACGTTTGCAGATCACAGAAAAGTGCTGTACTGAGGTTTCTTAAAAATACAGTTACCTGACAGGTGAGAAGAATTGGCTTTTGAAATTCAGCTTGACAAATTGAACAAATATCATCCACATCTGAACACTGTCTCTTGCTGGCAGCCACTCCGTGACTCTATAAAGATAAGAAGTTATGTTCCTACAAATTTCTTTCTTTTCTGTTCCTTAAATACATAGATGGTACTGTATTTCTCAAATCTCCAAGGAACTAGGCATTTGAAAACTCTCCCAAAGGATATAAACATTTCAGAGCTGAACTATGTATGCAGAATGATGCCCGGATGGATCACAGCAAGGTTAACTCGCTATGTAATACATAATAGGATACTGGAAGATTGTTAGATTCATTGGATTCCCAAATAATGACAGTGCTTCAAATTCAAATGGCTTAAGAGACTAAGCGATCTGAAATATAATACAGCATTATGCAATCTATGTTCATGTACTGTGTGACCCAGTACTGCCAAATTGAGCCCACTTATTACCTATGACACTTTTCAAAAAAGTCAGTCCAGAGCTTGGCTGGCTGAATGTAACTCATGTAGAGACTACTTTAAAAATAGGTTTCTGTGCTCCACACTGGTGATTGATTCAGTAGGTCCAGACATACCAGGATGTAACCCAGGAATCTAATTCCTGAAAGCTCTCCACATGAGTTCAATGTGAAGGAGGTTTGGGGACCACTGAACAGTATCCTGCCACTAAATCTAAAAATAATTTTAATTATCGTCCTTACTTATCACAAAAGTTGGAGCATTTAGTACCACGAAAGAATGGTAAAATTTTACAGAAGAACTGTAATTGCAAAATGTCACTTGGGTAGAGTTATACTGTCAAACTGAATAATAACACAAATCTTTGAATTTCCTTTTCTTCTTAAGTCCTAAAAAAAAGTTTCTGATCTAAGATCTTAATAACTTCCTTACCAAATTCAGTAGAATTTAGTCATTAACTAGATGTGACAAAATGTTACAAATGAGATCAGCTTTCTGTAGAAATGATGTGGAAAAGGTGGCTGAGGAAAAGAAAGAACACCCAAGTTTCGGTCATGGTAATGAAAGCAAAAGCATGACTTGACTCAGCAACCTGAAGCTGTGACCTAAACTTCTTGTTATCGAGGGTTAACAAAATCAAACTAAGACTCAACGGATGAAAACATTGAAAATGAAGATTTTTTGAGATTGGTCATGTTAAAGGTTCCAGAAACAAACTGAGATACTGATGGGTGATCTTGGTGCCAGTTTCCCTTCAGTGAATGTCATTTAGCAGAGTACACTGCAGATATGTATGCTGACAAGCTTTTAAAATAGCACTCTTGTCTGGCACTTTGCAGACTCCCTTCAGGTGAAGACATCCTGATGATGATTGCCATTTTCAGGGCAACATTAAGGAACATGAGAATCCCGGGAATAAAACAGAGTGATCTGTGATAGTCTCTTTATGCTTCACAGAGAAAGAATATCAAAAGTATTTCAGCTGAAGCCTTACTAGATTAATTGCTACAGCAAAGTGGCCGATACATAATCAACTGAATAAACTCAAAAGCTGAAGTCTCAATTTTATTGTATCTTATCTAAAGAAAGAAGTCTGAATAGGATGCAGCAAAACTTAATACAGGGCTTCCCTGGTGGTGCAGTGGTTGAGAGTCCGCCTGCTGATGCAGGGGACGCGGGTTTGTGCTCTGGTCTGGGAAGATCCGCGGCTGGGCCCGCGAGCCATGGCCGCTGGGCCTGCGCGTCCGGGGCCTGTGCTCCGCAATGGGAGAGGCCACAGCAGTGAGAGGCCCACGTACCGCAAAAAAAAAAAACCTTAATACATTACTGTCTTTAGGAAAGGGTGCCCTGGCCAGTTAGTTTACTCCACTTTGTTGGTATAATCCTGGTTTTTTTTAAACATATATTATTAGACTGGCATTCTTGTACATCAGATTCCCCTGAGTCCTGACCACATAATTGTGAAGTACCTAATGGACTGCAAAACTGAGAATCAAACTCTGAAACCTGGTGATCACACTTACATACTGAGAACTTCTGAGGCTACTAAATAGCAAATGAGCTGTTTATCATTTGGGCTATGATACCCTTTTTCTGCAGTTTGTTACATCAGTAGAATAACATAATAAAGTTACAGTTGACATTGGAGTCTCAATTTATTGTTAAAATTGTTTTGTTATTGTTAAATTTACTGTTATTGTCATGAACTTATTTGTGCATACAGAACTGCGTGTTGGAGAAATTTTTCCAGTAAGAAAATTTCAAGGGACATGATTTTTGGTAATGAGCTTTCTTCATACACACAGTAAATTATAGTATAAGCACTTTCACAGAAGTTGAATAGGAGTTAATGAAAATACACAAAGCTACTATTTGTGGCTTAAATAAGGGAAGAGAAACAAAAGTTCATAAGATTTTTAAGGGAATGTTTATAAACCCTTAAGAATGTCAAGTGATTTGAAAGGGCAAGAGGCAAACTCAAATATAGAAGTACTTCATCAACTATCAGGTGGTTGTCAATGTGCAAGTTAAATTATCACAGAAACAAAACCTCTATATCATCACAGCCCCAAGTGCCAAAGTACAAGAAGTTTTTCTAAAAAACCACGTAATTATGAAATCTGCATTTGTAAAACTGCTGAACTAAAACATTTTTATAATGTAGAAAGATAAAAAGTGTTTTTTCTGATTAAAAAATACTTACTGGTCGTGTAAAAAATATTCGCAAAACCTGTCTGAAAGTTCTCAGATGTCCAAAAAAGTCCAGAAGCTGAAAGAGAAAATAATTCATTTATTCAAAGAGCCTTACCTGCTAAACTCAGAGATCAAAGCTAATATCAAATACTGATATTAATTTTATGCTCATTGCATATCACAACTAATCATTTCATTCTAAATATATTTAAAGTCCAATTATGGAATATTTTACTCAATTTATCAATTTCAGCCAACTCTTAACCAAAATGAAGTACATCTGAATGCCCAGAGTTACAATTTGGTCAAGATAAATATAAACAACTAAATCAAAGGCAAGGCAATTTTATCTGGTTCACATGTCCTTAACCTATTTAACGTTTCATAAAGTGATTAAGCTGAGGGGAACAGGCATAGAGGGAACAGGACAAGATACTCCACTAGTTTGAGAATTATGTGTATGAGAGATGCTACTGTAGGGGATGGGTATGTTCTATTCTACTTGTTCCCCTCCACCTTAGATAATCCATGCTTAGAGGTCCACTCCCCCAATAAAATCTGAGAACCACTGGATTAAGATACCTATTTCCATTTCTCCATTTCTAAGTAGATATAGAATCTGCCATTACTTCAAACTAGTGATATGAAGATAAACTATAAAATATATAAAGAGAAAAGCAGTCATATGTAAAATATGTAAACAGTATTATATGAATCATTATAAATGATAAGATTTATTATGTTACCTACTTTTAGTATGAGGTAGAGTAAAGCCAGCAATATCCCAAGACTCCATCCAGTTACATTACCAAACTCCCCATAGCTTATAAGGTAACGAAACCAAACTGGTACGGGGACAAAAGTTCGGTAATACTGACATAATTCTTCTAAAACCATATACCAATAACCCTAAAAAGGAAGAAAAAAGAAAACAAATAGAGCCACCCAAGGTACTTACATGCACAATGCAAATACTTCATATTGGGCTGAGAACATCATGGGTATATGGCACAATAACACAACTATAAAATTAATCTTCATAATGATAATGGTTATGACTGACAACCTCAACTTGGTTCTTTAGATATTACAGTCACTGAGTGGTCTGTTTTCAAAGAATTTCTAAAGAGTGACTGAAAATGTTTTATGTATAATAAAACATTTTGCTGATTATAAAAATTTAAAGTTTTCATTAAATATGAAAAAACACTGAATAACTGCCTAAGTCAGTTATCAATTAACAATGCCCTGGAGGAAAACAGAAGTGTAAATATATATTTTCCCATATATGATGTGGGGACTCATTTTTAGATTATTCCAAAGCAAATATAATTGAGTTTATTGGAATAGATTAATATTTAGGTTCAAGTCTTTGACCAAACAGCTGCCAGTCTGAGATAATATAATTAAAATTAGGTTATTGAGCAAACTGAAAAATTATAGAAGGAATCATTTAAGCAAAGACTAAATAGCATTAATATGGTCTGCTAACAGCTTTCCAATAAAACATATTACCTTCTTACCTTGGATTTAAAAGGCATGATGAAAGAAGGCACCAATAAAATAAGGCATTTTAAGCCCATGAAGAGGAATTTCAGAATGAAGTCTGTAATTCCAACGATCCAAAGTACGTCCCAGAAGCTCGAATAGTCCAAAGTAGGATTAAAAAAAATTAAGCTACCAAGAGAAAAACATCAAAACTTACCAGAGCAACATAAAAAGATGTAAGTGTCGATGGGGGTTCTAAATTTACTACCAAATATTTAATTTGATGTGTAAAAATAAGAGTTTGGCAAGATGCTAGAGTTCATGTAAATAGAATGGAAGATCATTTTGCTTATTTTAAAAAAACCTTTTAGGGACTTCCCTGGTGGCGCAATGGTTAAGAATCTGCCTGCCAACGCAGGGGACACGGGTTCAAGCCTTGGTCTGGGAAGGTCCCACATGCCGCAGAGCAGTTAAGCCTGTGCACCACAACTACTGAGCCTGCGCTCTAGAGCCCGCGAGCCACAACTACTGAGCCCGTGTGCCACAACTATGGAAGCCCACATGCCTAAAGCCCATGCTCTGCAACAAGAGAAGCCACTGCCATGAGAAGCCCGCACACTGCAAGGGAAGAGCAGGCCCCACTCACCACAACTAGAGAAAGCTCACACGCAGCAATGAAGACCCAATGCAGCCAAAAATAAATTTATTAAAAAAACTTCTTAAATGTTTGAATTTCAAATCTTCCCTCCATAAAGAACGAGTCTTCCTAACTTGCCATGATTGATATCTTTCTAGCCTATAATCTAAAAAACTCACAAATACTCCGTAGCTGCCAATCTGTCTTCAACCAACTCCAGTCAGGAATCTAACCCCTCCTTTCCACTGAACTATTTTTGTCAAGATCGCCAACTCCCTCCCTCTTGCTAAATTCGAAGGTCACTTTTTCCCCCCTTCTCTCCTTGAAATACTTTCTTCCTAGACTTCTGACACCACTGTCTTCTAGCTGTTCTCATATGTGACTGATGGTTCCTTTTTTTAAAAAATTTATTTATTCATTTATTATTTTTGGCTGCATTGGGTCTTCGTTGCTGCACGCGGGCTTTCTCTAGTTGCGGTGAGTGGGGGGCTACTCTTCGTTGCGGTGCGCGGGCTTCTCATTGCGGTGGCTTCTCTTGTGGAGCACGGGCTCTCAGCGCAAGGGCTTCAGTAGTTGTGGCACACGGGCTCAGCAGTTGTGGCTCGCGGGCTCTAGAGCACAGTCTCAGTAGTTGTGGTGCACAGGCTTAGTTGCTCTGCGGCATGTGGGATCTTCCTGGACGAGGGCTCGAACCCATGTCCCTTGCATTGGCAGGCGGATTCTTAACCACTGCGCCACCAGGGAAGCCCCTGATGGTTCCTTCTTAAGTCTCCTTTGCTGCTCCTCCTCTGGCTAATTGTGGGCATGTCCAGTCCTGGGCCCTCTCCCTCTGTCTATACTTTCTTTCCCTGATTAGTCTTGTCAAGTTCCTTGGTTTTTAAATATCAACCATATGCTGATAACACCAAAATTTACAGCCCTAACCTCTACTCTGAGCTCATGACAAATATCTATAATCACTTTAACAGTTCTACATGGCCTCTCAAACTTAACATGTTCAAAACAAAATTACTGATTTTCCCTCAAAACCAGTTCCTTCCCCAGTCTTTCCCAGCCCAGTAAATGGCACCACCATCCAGCCAGTTGCTTAGACTAAAAAAACCCAGTATCACCCTTGATTCTTCCCCCTTACCTACTCACCCAATCCAATCCGAGTAGTACTGGCTACACCTACAAACTATATCCCAGATTTGTCCACATCTCTCCAACTCCACTGAAACCAGGACTTCTAATTATCTGATTAAAGCTGAAAATTCAGAACACTTCCATCTGACATGGAAACTTATCAACTACTGTCCTTTAGCAAGTCGTCTTCTAGAGACAAAGATCAAGTGTTCTTATCACACATACACACAAGAAGGTAACTAAGGAAGGTGATGGATATATTAATTAGCTTGATGTGGTAATCATTTCACAATGTATACATATATCAAAACATGTTGTAGATTTTAAATATATACAATTTTTATTTATCAAAAATGAAAAACGAAAAAAGATCACCAACAACAACCTAATGGTATTTAGTAACTACTGATTATATAAGTAAAAATTTAAGTATCAAAAATTATTTATTGAGCACTTGCTGTGAGGCAAGGCACTGGGTATAAAAATGTGAGTAAGTCACTTTAAGCTCTCAATCTTGGAAAGAGACCGATAGGTAAAAATTGAACTCTTAAAAAAAAGAAAAAAATTGAACTCTAAGTATGTGCAAGTAAGATATATGCAAAGTGCTATGGAATATACGATTACATAAAAATGTGATTGTGCACTTGGACCTCTAATTACCTGTAATAAAGTGACTGAGAATGAAAGGTGTAATATAAAAGAACAGAAGATCCTGCTAAGAATACCAGTAACCAAGCACACTGAATCTTTGAGCACCTTTCCTGAAAAATAAACAATTTTATAATTTGTTACTTTGAATTATGCCAGAATTTTAAATATCATTAAACTATTTTAATGACTAATTTATTAACTTAGAACATTTTAATAGATTAATTTATCTTAATAAAATACAGAATATTTGTTAAATTGTACATCATCACATTCTATTTTATATACCTTTAGTGAAAAAAACAAAACACATACTTAAACAGATTTTTAAAATACAAGTTTCCTCATTGTGTAACATTACCTATGTTTCAAAGCCAAATCTTCTACAGACTGACATAAAGGACCTACGTAAATAAAAACTTTACTTCTGCAGCTTCCTATTTTTGCCTTCCCAACAAAACAGACTTTTAAAATTTACTGCATTTATGTTACCAGGGTTTATAAATATAATTTTAAAAATTCTCAATTCAATAAGAATTTAATAAAATGTTTTTAATCTCAGTTTTATAATTGTTTTAATTACTGGTTTAATTAAAAATTTTACTAGTTTTAAACCCTGAATTAAACTTCTATGGTTTGATAGGTTCTAACTAGGACTTTTCAGGTCAAAATGTATGATCCTTTACACAGATATAACCCTTGAAAGTTGCTTGAAATTTTATAAACTAATCCTGTTTTCCCAATAATTTACATGAATAGGAATCTTTTATAATTTCTTATGGAAAAACTTCTTGGGTTTAGTTTTCTTTAAATAAGAGAAACCTAAATAAATAGTTCAATACCCATTTATTCAGTGTACGTTTTATATGACTATTTTAAATCTTACAGTACAACAGCTGAAGTTTTTAATGATGATTATATTACTTAGTATGGTCAAACTAACTTAAAACATGATAGCACTTGACAAATCAGATCAAATAGTGTGTTCTAAACCTTTTAATCCTTCTGTCTAGTTTTTCTTTATCAGGAACCCAATATACAAAGAAAATAAGGTGAATCAATTCAGTATTAGGACAGATCATTTATTCCAGGTCATTTAGATAACAACATTTAATATATCATGGATGGTACATTATATCTATTTAAATTTATCAAATAAACTATCTTATCTTTATTCCTATTTCTCTCAAAAATGAGTATATAATTCTACAGGGAGAAACATTTAATAATTTTTTAGTTGCTGGTTATACTTACTCTTAGAAAAACCTGATTTACAATGCTTTTGTTTGCATATATAAAAGTTGTAAGCAGCCCAATTCCAAGAGAAATTCCTGTTAGAAAATAAGGTCCAGTTAATTGAAAGAAAAAAAAAGAGCTAACATGACATGAATTTAAAGGAAGCATATACAATTTTAAAAACTAACAGAAAATAAGAAACTGAAATACATAGGTTAAAGTAGATTACCAATAAAGAAAGAAAATTAGCTGCATGTAGTAATGAAAGAGCTCAGTGTTTTATTATACCCTACCTGTTATATGCTGCATAACAAGTTTGACACCCAGAATCAAAATATATGGAAGACCTTTTTGCAACCACTTGAAGGGATATCGGAATTCTGAGAAGGAGCTACTACCATGATCTCCAGACTCCATCTCGGTATCATCAGGTTGCCTTGCTTCATTGTGGGAGTGACTCCGTAAGCGACTGTGTACACATCCATGGGTACAGCTGTGGACACCTGACCTTACATTTCTGGAGCTTGGATTTTCAGCACATTCTTTAGGCATGGAGTTTATCTGAATATGAACATCTCCAGAATAAAGACAGGAAGCTTCTCCTGTCAATCTTGTTTGGACACACTGGGAGGCTGAGGCATCCTCAGTGCCTGCAGCTCCTGAAGGGCTGTGCAGTTGGCTACAGTTGGCTTGCATGACCCCTGAATACTTTTTCTGTGATCCAGATTTCTTTGCTTCAGGGCTCTGTCTCCTAAAAATCAAAGCGCAGAAAATATTCTAAGTGAACAGTTAAGTACAGGCAATATATTGCTCACTAGGAATAATTTATTCACTAAAGGAGAGGCTGACAGTCACAGTACATGAATTATTTCCAGGTTATCTATTGCTTATTACTAGACTCCTCCATCTTCTCCCTTTATGCGAAGGCTCTGCTGCCCTAGGCAAACTATCCTTTAGGGATACATCTGCTACCAAAAAAGTTTAGCTTCAGATGCCTCCAGTTCTCTAATGACAGAAGGAACCGGCAAAACAGTCAAAATATGGGTGCTCAGCAGATGTTAATGAGTACTAGTACTCAATCATACTAGAACACTTAAGTACATTTACTTTGTTCAACTGGAACAGTTTCATCTCTGATGTAGATTCTACATCTAATAAGAGTGAGTTTTTTAATGTGTGGAAAGGTTAGGAAGAAAAAAGCATCAAATCTTAACTCCTCATTAAGTATCATCATGGAGAACTAATAAACATTTCATTTAGGTGACCTACAAATTTCGTTTTATGCTGAAACAGCTTTCCCAAAGCTAATAAAAAAGTTTCCAATAATTAATACCAAGAGTATTTACCTTTTCCTGTCCCCCCCAAGGATGTTACCTAAATACCTTTAAAATAGGAAGACTTGGGGAGTCACCATGTAATTGCTAAGTGACTCTTTATTCTGAATAAGGATAATTACGTAGTCTGCATATTAAAAATGCCACCTTTGAGGGGAGGAGCGTCGGGAAAGAGAACACTGGCACGGAAAGATCCCTAAATGACGAGTGTGGGTAGCCGTCGTGGATCCAGCTGACGAAACGCAGAGCCTTTCCTGCCGTTTCTGTAGGAGGAAGCTGGGGTTAACGTCAGGGCATGTTCCGTGTCATTCTCTTTCATTCCTAGGTTTGGAATTTTTTTTCTTTTTTCTTTTTTTTTTTTTTCAGTTACTGTTGGGCGGTTTGGTTTTTAGTGCCATTCACTAGAGGCTTTCACTGATGCTCCAACGCCACGACTGCTATTTATTTCCTCCAACCTCTGAAGACCGACGCTGGACGGGAGAATTTCAGCGTCTTTTTCCACAAATAAAAACAGAACCCTCCCGCTTTCCTCCAAGTACGCGCAAGAAAGGGGAGAAAAAGGGAAGAAAAGTAAACGCAACGGGCTCTTCCGGAATCTCCAGGACAGATTTTTCCTCCCACGTTCGACCTTCGAGTACCTCAGTTATTCTCCCCAGAGCCCATTTCGCCGCGGCCCCTCGCCTCCTTCGCCCGCTTCCCCCAGGCCTGACCTCTCATGACGATGAGCGCACCGAGTCCCGGGCAGCGACTGCAGAAACAGCGGGAGATGCCGTCTCGAGGCCTTCAGTCAAGGCCATCACCTTCAGAACCACCGCCAACAACTCCCGCCCAGCTCGGCGGCAGCGGCGGCGGCGCGCGCGCTCCCGGACGTCCTCACGCGCGCGCGCCCCGGCCCCGCGCGACGCGCCGAGGGACTGGCAGCGACGACGGGGCGGGGCAGAGGCCGTCTGGGGGTGTTGGCTGTGAAGAGGCGGCTGTGGCCGAGAAGCGATCGCAGGCGTCTGCGTTAAACAATAAGCGAATGTGCGTAGGTTTGTGTAACTCGCCCCAAGCCGGTTAAAGGTCTGGAAGTTTTGAGGTTAAAAATGTTTTAGCCTTCGGAACCTCCCCTCGAGGGAGGAGCGTGCTGTTGGGTGCTCACCTGGTCCTGCTCCCAGCGCGCCTGGCTTCTGGAAGCTGCCCAGCGTTTTGGTCCCGCTTGGCTCGCGTCTCCCGGGACCTGAGTTGGAGGAGCCACGTTGGCGAGGGGTCGGAGCGCCTCTGAGAGAGCTGGGCGGGGCGGGAGTGTTCTGGTGTCGGCTAGCTCAGCTGACCCAGTTGTGGCTGGACGGTGAAGTTTGAACTGAACTGGGTTTCCGTTACAATCCTAACTTTGCACTGTGAGAACAAGGCCCTGCTGAAACCTGAGGAGATAGAATCAGAGAGAAGTGGGGGACGGTTTGGGTGGTGGGAGGGGTGGAAGTAGAAGTTAGAGTTTAAAAAACTTGTCTTGTATGGGGTATAGGGGACTCTGTACTATCTTCGCTATAACTGTTAACCGAAAACTGTTCTAAAATAAAAGATTTATTAAGAAAAAGTTTAAACGAAAGAAACAAAGAACCTTGCCTCTTGGTCTCTAGCCGAAATATATTCTAAATGATACTTAATTGTATTCCATGAGTCTGCCCCATTCCCACAACCACCAATAGCCTTTCTATTTTGAACCTCAAGTTTTTTACCTTTAATTTCTAGAAATTGACGTGAAGTAAGTAACTCTTGGTGGTTAGGTCTTGAAATTAAAAATCCGTGCCACGCTTGAGGTGTGCAATCTTCCCTCACTAGAGAGGGTAAATTTTCATACATATACACACATGTCATGAGTTGAATATCTAGTGGGAAAAGTGATACTTTGTCTTTTTACTGGTCACTGATTTAAAACCATTCACAACTTTGCGCAAGTTAGTTTGCTGGTGTGTGAATTTTTAGGCTTCTTAATCATGAAATTGTTTGCACCTTATTTTCTCCTATTTCAGAGTACAACTGAATCCACTGTTTAACCTGAATTAACCACTTTGAGGTTGTACTTAAATCATATTAATTTTATTACCAAACCATTTCCCTTGGCTAGAAAGGCACTCTCCCAGTCCCCACCAACCAGTATTAGATCTGCTTCCCCTTGAGATATTGCAAGATACTTGCTTTTGTGTGTGTGTGTGTGTATATGTCTCCATGAGCTTCACTAATGTAAGTCTTCCCGAAAAATTAGGTTTCTGGGTCAGTGAGTCTGTCTTAGTCTGTTTGGGCTGCAGTAAGATATAGCCTGGATGGCTTATAAACAACAAATTTATTTCTCACAGTTCAGAAGCCTGGGAAGTCCAAGATCAAGGTGTCAGCAGATTTGGTGTCTGGTGAGTCCTGCGTCCTGGTTTATAGACAGTGTTGTCTCCGGCTGTGTCCTCACATGGTTGGAGGGTGGTGGAGCCCTTTGGAAACACTTTTATAAGGGCACTAATCGCCTTCATGAGGGCTCTGTCTTAATGCCTTAATCACCTACCCCCACCTGCTTATACTATCACATCGGGGGTAGAATTTCAACATATGGATTTTGTGGGGGACACAAAAATTCGGTCTGTAGCAAAGGCTGAAGCCAAGATCTGGGCTGTAATGAATTTTTCAAGGAGACTTATTTGTTTAATATTGATATATTTTATCATTCCAACTACAACATGGATATTTTTATTTTAAACTTTAAAATTTATGAGAATTTAGGAAACAGAAAAAAGAGACTCAATCTCACATAATCCAGCTACCACCACAATGAGGCATCAATATATTTTAGTACATTGATAATTTTAGTATATTTGTAAATTTAGTACATTTATGTACCTTAAATATTTTCCTGAGTTTTATGACCCAGGAATCCTTTCATGTGTTTGTTGGCCTTCTGTATATCTTCTTTGGAGAAATGTCTGTTTAGGTCTTCTGCACATTTTTGGATTGGGTTGTTTGTTTTTTTGATACTGAGCTGCATGAGCCACTTGTATAATTTGGAGATTAATTCTTTGTCAGTTGCTTTGTTTGCAAATATTTTCTCCTATTCTGAGGGTTGTCTTTTCATCTTGTTTATGGTTTCCTTTGCTGTGCAAAAGCTTTTAAGTTTCAATAGGTCCCATTTGTTTATTTTTGTTTTTATTTCCATTTCTCTAGGAGGTGGGTCAAAAAGGATCTTGCTGTGATTTATGTCATAGAGTGTTCTGCCTTTGTTTTCCTTAAGAGTTTTATAGTATCTGGCCTTACTTTTAGGTCTTTAATCCATTTTGAGTTTATTTTTGTGTATGGTTTTATGAAGTGTTGTAATTTCATTCTTTTACATGTAGCTGTCCAGTTTTCCCAGCACCACTTATTGAAGAGGCTGTCTTTTCTCCATTGTATATTCTTGCCTTCTTTGTCAAAAATAAGGTGACCATGTGTGCGTGGGTCTATCTCTGGGCATTCTATCCTGTTCCATTGATCTATATTTCTGTTTTTGTGCCAGTACCATACTGTCTTGATTACTGTAGCTTTGTAGTATAGTCTGAAGTCAGGGAGCCTGATTCCTCCAGCTCCATTTTTCTTTCTCAAGATTGCTTTGGCTATTCGAGGTCTTTTGTGTTTCCATACAAACTGTAAAATTTTTTGTTCTACTTTTGTGAAAAATGCCATTGGTAGTTTGATAAGGATTGCATTGAATCTGTAGATTGCTTTGGGTAGTATAGTCATTTTGAGAATGTTGATGCTTCCAATCCAAGAACATGGTATATCTCTCCATCTGTTTGTATCATCTTTAATTTCTTTCATCAATGTCTTATAGTTTTCTGCATACAGGTCTTTTGTCTCCTCAGGAAGGTTTCCTCATAGGTATTTCATTTTTTTTGTTGCTGGGGTAAATGCGATTGTTTCCTTAATTTCTGTTTCATATTTTTCATCATTAGTGTATAGGAATGCAAGAGATTTCTGTGCATTAATTTTGTATCCTGCTACTCTACCAAATTCATTGATTAGCTCTAGTAGTTTTCTGGTAGCATCTTTGGGATTCTCTATGTATAGTATCATGTCATCTGCAAACAGTGACAGCTTTACTTCTTTTCTGATTTGGATTCCTTTTATTTCTTTTTCTTGTCTGATTTGCTGTGGCTAAAACTTCCAAAACTATACTGAATAATAGCAGTGAGAGTGGGCAACCTTGTCTTGTTCCTGACCTTAGAGGAAATGGTCAGTTTTTCACCACTGAGAATGATGTTGGCTGTGGGTTTGTCATATATGGCCTTTAGTATGTTGAGGTAGCTTCCTTCTGTGCCCACTTTGTGGAGAGTTTTTATCATAAATGGGTGTTGAATTTTGTTGAAAGCTTTTTCTACATCTATTGAAATTATCGTATGGTTTTTATCCTTCAGTTTGTTAATATGATGTATCACATTGATTGATTTGCATATATTGAAGAATCCTTGCATTCCTGGAGTAAACCCCACTTGATCATGGTGTATGATACTATTAATGTGCTGTTGGATTCTGTTTGCTAGTATTTTGTTGAGCATTTTTGCTCTATGTTCATCAGTGAGATTGGCCTGTAGTTTTCATTCTTTGTGACATCTTTGTCTGGTTTGGTATCAGGGTAATGGTGGCCTCGTAGAATGAGTTTGGGAGCATTCCTCCCTCTGCTATATTTTGGAAGAGTTTGAGAAGGATAGGTGTTAGCTATTCTGTAAATGTTTGACAGAATTTGCCTTTGAAGCTATCTGGCCCTGGGCTTTTGTTTGTTTGAAGATTTTATTTTATTTATTTATTTTTTTTGCGGTACGCAAGCCTCTCACTGTTGTGGCCTCTCCCGTTGCGGAGCACAGGCTCTGGACGCGCAGGCTCAGCGGCCATGGCTCACGGGCCCAGCCGCTCTGTGGCATGTGGGATCTTCCCGGACCTGGGCATGAACCCGTGTCCCCTGCATTGGCAGGCGGACTCTCAACCACTGCACCACCAGGGAAGCCCCTGTTTGAAGATTTTTAATCACAGTTTCAATTTCATTGCTCGTGATTGGTCTGTTCATATTTTCTATTTCTTCCTTTTCAGTCTCAGAAGGTTGTGCTTTTCTATGAATTTGTCCATTTCTTCCACGTTGTCCATTTTATTGGAATATAGTTGCTTGTAGTAATGTCTCATGATCCTTTGTATTTCTGCAGTGTCTGTTATTCTCCCTTTTCATTTCTAATTCTGTTGATTTGAGTCTTCTCCCTTTTTTTCTTGATGAGTCTGGCTAATGGTTTATCAATTTTCGTTATCTTCTCAAAGGACCAGCTTTTAGTTTTATTGATCTTTGATATTGTTTCCTTCATTTCTTTTTCATTTATTTCTGATCTGATCTTTATTATTTCTTTCCTTCTGCTAACTTTGGCTTTTTTTTGTTCTTCTTTCTCTAATTGCTTTAGGTGTAAGGTTAGGTTGTTTATTTGAGATGTTTCTTGTTTCTTGAAGTAGCTTTGTCTCACTATAAACTTCCCTCTTAGAACTGCTTTTGCTGCATCTTATAGATTTTGGATAGTTGTTTCCATTTTCATTTATCCCCAGGTGTTTTTTGATTATCTATTTGATTTCTTCAGTGACTCATTGGTTGTTTAGTAGCATGTTGTTTAGATTCCACTTGGTTTTTTTTGTTTTTTTGCAGTTTTTTTCTTGTCGTTGATTTATAGTCTCATTCCATGTGGTTGGAAAACATGCTTGATATTATTTCAATCTTCTTAAATTTATTGAGACTTGTTTTGTGACTTCGCATGTGATCTATCGTGGAGAATGTTTCATGTGCAGTTGAAAATAATGTGTATTCTGCTGTTTTGGATGAAATGTCCTCTATATATCTATTAATACCTATATTAATGGCATTAATAGATATATTAATATCTATATTGATCTTGGTCTGATATGTCATTTACGGCCAGAGCTTCCTTATTGATTTTCTGTCTGGATGATCTGTCCATTGATGTAAGTGGGGTGTTAAAGTCCCATACTGTTATTGTCAATTTCTCCCTTTACATTTGTTAGTATTTGCTTTATGTTTTTAGGTGTTCCTATGTTGGATGCATATATATTTACAATTGTTATATCTTCTTGTTTCCCTTTACCATTATGTAATGTCCATCTTTGTCTCTACCTCAAAACAATCTTTGTTTTAAAGTCCATTCTGTCTGATATAAGTATTGCTACCCCAGCTTTATTTTCGTTTCCATTTGCATGGAATACCTTTTGCCATTCCCTTTCAGTCTGTGTGTGTCTTCAAATCCGAGTGAGTCTCTTGTAGGCAGCATATATATGGTTCTTTTAAAAAAAAATCCATTTACCCACTCTGTATCTTTTGGGTTTTTTTTTTTTCTGATATGTGGTTTTCATTTTCATTTAGTTCAGAATATCTTCTTTTTTTTTTTTAACATCTTTATTGGAGTATAAGTGCTTTACAATGGTGTGCTAGTTTCTGCTTTATAACAAAGTGAATCAGCTATACATATACATATATCCCCATATCTCTTCCCTCTTGTGTCTCCCTCCCTCCCCCCCTCCCTATCCCACCCCTCTAGGTGGTCACAAAGCACGGAGCTGATCTCCCTGTGCAATGCAGCTGCTTCCCACTAGCTATCTATTTTACAGTTGGTAGCGTATATATGTCTAAGCTTCACTTTTTTTTTTTTTTAACATCTTTATTGGGGTATAATTGCTTTACAATGGTGTGTTAGTTTCTGCTTTATAACAAAGTGAATCAGTTATACATATACATATGTTCCCATATGTCTTCCCTCTGGCGTCTCCCTCCCTCCCACTCTCCCTATCCCACCCCTCCAGGCTGTCACAAAGCACCGAGCTAATATCCCTGTGCCATGCGGCTGCTTCCCACTAGCTATCTACCTTACTACGTTTGTTAGTGTGTATATGTCCATGACTCTCTCTTGCCCTGTCAAAGCTCATCCTTCCCCCTCCCCATATCCTCAAGTCCGTTCTCCAGTAGGTCTGCGTCTTTATTCCTGTCTTACCCCTAGGTTCTTCATGACATTTTTTTTTTCTTAAATTCCATATATATGTGTTAGCATACGGTATTTGTCTTTTTCTTTCTGACTTACTTCACTCTGTATGACAGACTCTAGGTCTATCCATCTCATTACAAATAGCTCAATTTCGTTTCTTTTCAAGGCTGAGTAATATTCCATTGTATATATGTGCCACATCTTCTTTATTCATTCATCCGATGATGGGCACTTAGGTTGTTTCCATCTCCGGGCTATTGTAAATAGAGCTGCAATGAACATTTTGGTACATGACTCTTTTTGAATTTTGGTTTTCTCAGGGTATATGCCCAGTAGTGGGATTGCTGGGTCATATGGTAATTCTATTT